AATTTTTGCACTATATAGTTTATACTAATCTAAATTTTATATAATTTAGATTTTACAAAGATTAGTTAAAGAAAAGGTCAATTTGTATTTAGATGAACTTGTTTGTGAAATAGAACAACATACAGGAAAGTCTGTTTCTGTTCCAACATTATGGAGATCATTAGTATACTATAGCATTACGCGAAAAAAAGTTTTTTTCCTTTTTTTTTTTTTTTTTTTTTTTTTTTTTTTTGAAGTTTGACTCTAATATTTAGTTACTTAGCTTTATAAAGAAGCAAAAGAACGGAACAAACTTGTAAGAAGCGCATTTATGGTACGTATTGGTGCACATTATTATCCTGAGCAATTCGTATTTGTAGATGAATCTGCCAAGGATGAGCAGACTATATCCAGAGATTACAAATATTCAGTAATAAACATCTTGGCAAGGAAAAAAGTAGTATTTGTACGTGGGACGAGGTATACAATCTGTCCAGCTTTGACTATGCAAGAAATAATTGCAGCCGATATTGTAAAGGGCAGTTACACAAAATATAATTTTAAAGAGTTTATTATAAATCAAGTTGTATGTATTCAGTACTATTTTTACAGTAAAATTGTTATACTATGTACTAATATATACTAATATTTATATTATGCAGTTACCACAGATGAATCCGTACCCTCACTCTAATAGTATTCTAGTTTTAGACAATGCGCGAATTCATCACGATGAAGGATTATGCGAATATCTAGATGCCTTTGGAGTGCGTGTAGAATTTCTTCCTCCATACTCACCAGACCTTAATCTGATTGAAGAAGTATTTTCTTTGATTAAAAGATATTTATGACAAAATCGCGATTTTGTTGAGAATTCAAACGATCCAAATTATCCATTATTAGTTGCGTGTGCTCAGGTTGGATCTGAAGTAGCAAAAAAAATTATTGAAGCTGCGGGATACAAATAATCTTTTTTTTGAGTAAATAAAAAAAAAATTAGAGGCCGCTTAGTATACACACGAAATGTCTTGATAACAGCTTACATGCTTTTGAACTATATCAGCATATAAATTATATCAGAAATGAATCATATTAGTATCGAAACATCGAAGTAACTATAAAAATGATAAACGAAAATTTCTTTTTAGGGAATTAGAAGGAAATAATCCCACGTACAAACTATTATACAGCATAAACATAAATAGCAAACGTATTACACAAACACAAGCACAGGCAAAAAAAGTTATACTGCACAAATATATAAGGAAAAGACCATCCAGCAAAAGCAGATTCTTAACAATTAAAAATGCATATAATTAGCTAGTACATTTTATACACATATTTATTTATATGTACAACTCCATTTTTTTGCAAGAGGCGTAATGATGCATTGATCAATTGATAAATTCGAATTATTATGTAAGCATTACATACATATCAGAATTGCTATGTATTAAAAATTAAATCATCGATATTTTTCAGCATATTCACGTATAGTTTCATGTGCTCCAATAGTATTTACCTCACATTGATTAAGTTTTTCATCTGTTAATCTTTGTAATTGTTTCACTGAAATTCGTTGTGCTTCAAAATTTCCTAAAAAATCCTGGTAATAATAATCTGTTCCTTCCTTTTCATCTATTTCCATTAAAAACTCCGCCATGGTAGGTATAATAGGAGAGACATATGAATTAGATTGAAAAGGTTGAGTCTGTAACGATAATGTTTGATATGAATTATATGGATTCAAAAATAATGGTTGATATGGTTGAAGTAATTGAGACCAATTGTGTGTTTGTGCTTGTGATGGTAGTTGTGATGATAAAAATAATGGTGCCAAAATTGGTTGTTGTGGTAAAACAAATGGTACTTGTATTTGTGGTATTTGCGATGGCAAACCTAATGATGCTTGTGTTTGGAAATATAAGAATGGTGATAAAATTGGTTGAGTTAGTGATGGTTGCTATGTATTTAATGAAGAAGGTGAAGATAAATTTGGTTGTGGTAGCTGTGAACTTAGTTGAAATAGTGACGGTAGTTGCATATTTGGTTAAGATTGTGGTAGTTGTGGGCTTGGTTGAGATAGTGGTGGTGACTCCGTATTTTCTGATAGCATGGTAACATATGAAAGCTTTTTGGATGATGTATTGGAATAGGAAAAAAGTGGATGCGTTGGAAACTTTTCAATTGTAGCCAATCCTCGAGTCTAAAAAAAAGTAAATGTACAGTATAAATAAATAAACTTGAAACCAAAAACTAGTATAAGTCCAGAGCTCATAATGATAATTTTAGTAAGTATTTAATAATGATAAACTCTAAAAAATCTGGTCACGTACATACATATGATCACATTTTTCAGGGCCATTACAGACAAAAAATGCCAAAACCACAGGTTTGATATTTCTATTATGAATCAAAATTGTAATTTTGGCATCAAAACGCATAGAAATATAAGTCTTTTGCTTCGCTCTGGAAAATATGTAATATTAAATA